TCTTCCAAGGAAGACTTGCAAGGCGAGGCAACATTCGTTCATAGCGAGGCGTTCGTTGTCGATCTGGAATTCCTCTAATTTCCCCACCATCCTCTTAGTTCAACTAATAGCCGAGTACCGAGTAACCTTTCAATTTTTCCCAAGTGATTGTAAGAGTTCAGCCTTCACCACTTGGGTTCTTTAAATCTCCCACGTCTCGGGACGGAAGTACCTATTGCTTAGGGGTCTTCCTTTCCCCATGACGGGGCTTGCACTCGGAAAAAAAAGCCCGATTTGCTTAGTTTCGAACCCGGGTCCCCCGTCACGGGAGCCAAGAAAGCTACCAACTGAGCCATTCCCCAACCCCCACTCCCCTCTATGACGTCACAAGGATGCGCTTTCCTAAACTCGTCTCCTGCGCAAGTTAATGAGGCGCCTATTTGCCGGTGCGTGGTTGCACTTCATTTTACTGCTCTAATTTTATTTGAGGCATAAGTTAGAGAGATGTTAATTTTTAAAAATGTTTCCATACCTTTTGGGACCCTCTGTATTGTGATATATACCAAATGCTCTCAAATGCGTGTGTAGTGTGTTTGGGTTTCCACCCCAACCCCCATACTACATTTGGCTGGCCCCCGGTCACAGAAGACCCTAGCTAAGCCACTGCGCGGGACACGTCTCCTCGATGCACCGACCTTCAACTTGAGGTCTTTTCGATAGCTTTTATCGAGTCGGTTTGCAACAGAGAAGTAATACTTCTCGTTCCGTGCATCTGGAAACCCGACGCGAAAGGAAGTGAACGAATTGGGACACTCGTTTTAATTCGCGGAGCCATACTCTCAGTAAAGATGCCCGATTACTACGTCATGTCAACACGTCCAAGACCATTATAAAGTCCATGCCTTCGATCGATTATTCTCAGAAGCGCATGCAAACCATGCAAACCGATGCGTGGACCTCGGATTCCTTCCAGGCACGACTCCGACGGAGATGAGTCCTTCCATCTGGGGGCACTCCCGCTTTTCCTGCGACATGGCACTTCCAGGAGTCCGGAATGGGACTTTCATTGAGACTCGAGAGGTCCGGAACGAGACTAGAATGCCTTGCACGGCTGGGAAATCAATCTGTTTCGGTCGGAGAGGGTCATCCCTTCCATGTCCCTGCGCCCAGACATTCGCATGACACTGAGATGTCCCCACAATTGATAACTAGAGCTTTTCGCCTGTCTCCGGGGGATATCTCGGGGACCGTTTTGTGACGTATTTGTTCTGTGAGGGCGTCTCATGTCATGCTTCTTTTTAGGGGGGAAATGATGCCATGCAATTCTACTCCTTTCCATACCTTGGGGCTTCGGCCAACTAGTGCAGCAATTTGACACAAGCAGAATCTCTCAATTGCACATACTTGATTAGAGCTGTCTGTGCCAACTTTCATCATACAACTTCCCAGTTCCCAATAATTTTTCAGACCTGCCGACCATACAAAAAAAAAACCAAATTCACGTATAGGCTTAGGCTTTGGCTTAACCCATTGAATACTCAAGCAAAGCTTTCTCGTGCCTGCTGACAGTACTGGACCTGCCAATTTCATTCCTCAACTCTTTCACAACTTCCATAATATGATTCAGAATATCCATCCCCATATCCAAAAGCGTGAAACGCATCTTCCTGTTTCGGACTAGTTGCAGCTCAGAAAAGGATGATAAAAAAATCAGCTTGGAATATAGGCGCCGAACCCAGGGGGGCCAAGGGGCACGTGCCTCCCCAAGAACGGCAAAATTTCAACAAAAGTATAGCACATCGAAAATTGAAAACAAAATGCTGCTTCACGAAAGAAATGAAAAATATGATTTTCCTTTCTGTTTTGAGCGCCAACTGGGGGAGATCCCTGTGTCACACCGTAAGGGTATGGGGTGGAAGGGCCATGCCCAGCAAACCCCCCCCAATACTTTTTAGAAGTCTATGGCCTGGGATGGTGTGGATTGGGTTCTGGTCAACAGAGATTAGGAACCACTAAAAAAAAAAACTTTACCAGGATATTTGTGCACTTGAGCGAACATGAAAATCGAATGAGAAGAATTTCCTCACCAGCCTATCTCTACATCTATCCATGAAGTTAATAAGCAAACATTTTTAAATTTCACGTTCTGCTGTAATTGAGGTAAATGAATGAGGCACAAGAGATCATTCAGGCATAATATAACATTTGTCTTTAGACATGATTTACACATAAAAATTGAAACAGGGTGTGCAATAAATAAATAAATAAATAAATAAAATCACAAAAATGAGCAAAAACAGCAACATAAAAAGCCCTAGTTCCAGAAATTTGTTTTCTAAAGTAAAAATGTAGCACAAGTTGGAGGCTCCTTTTTGAGATGCCTTCTTGCATCTTCAACAGGGCCTTGAAAATCCATCAATCAATAACTTTAATCACTCTTTCAACATTTTAGTTTTTATTTGGGGAAATGGCTTGTAAAAAATATATTCTCAATTTAATTTTAAGTTAATTAATAATTTTTCAATTTAACACCCTGCATGGGAATGATACAAGTTTGAATTGTTTTTGAAAAAAAGTTACACCATACATGAATGTATGCCATGTAAAGTTTTTACTCCTCAAATACAGCAGATAACTTTTTGAAAATGTATAGCATCTTCGCAGACATCCTACCATGGCCACTCAGCACATCGCTCTGCTGTGCTCTGTTGGATATTGGTCTTCATGTCTCCTTGTCGTGCTTTCAAGGTGAGAGGGATCAAATGTGATTATGACCGATTGGTCTTAGTGGTCAGATCAGCAGCTACAAAGGCATTGGATTTTCAAGAGTGGCTGACACTGCAGAGTTTTTTTGGGCAAGCAAACTTTTCACCTATTCACAGCAGTGGCACCAAAAGCTGCCACATCAGAAACTAAATTAACACCAATACAAAACAACAGCCTTGGTATCTTTCTTTTAAACCAACAGGTACTTCTATCATCTGATGATTGTAAAATATTTTATCATAACATGGTTGGAAAGTTGAATGCATGATTCAAATATGTCAGCCCTCATGGACAAAGTTCAAATGGGCCAATTGTTTCCATATCAGCTCCTTATAAAAGAGCTTGTCTGAAGCCTCTCATATCAAAACAGACAGGAAGTTACTTATGACTCCCAAGATGAAAGATACTGAAATTTCAAACATGAGGGAGAGGCCATTTGTTGCCAAATGGATCCTGTGTGGAATACTGCTTGTCCCACAGCCACGGTCGATCATCTCGGCCGTATGGAATCGGCTGGAGGTCCCAAGGCACTGGGAACTCCTCTCCTCCATCTCCACCCTCTGTCACTTCAAACCAGTCTTCCCCTGTCTGCAATATGGCATACATTTTTTGCCACACGTATTCATGGATTTCTGATTTCTATGGGAGCAATATATTTTAAAAAATTAAAATTAGAACTGAGAGCATGATCAACAAAAAATAAATAGAGAGGAAATGGATATCTATAGTGACTAGCTTTTCATAAGTAAAAATACTCATACCACCCATGGGATGACTGGGTATCAGCAAAAACTGCAAACTTCAAGACTCTACATAAAAATTAAAAGCAAAATAACTGAGTCAGAATGATACATTTTGTGTTCCCACATGACAAATCATGCTCCTATGTCTATCACAAGAATATATTATGTTAAAGGAGCAAAGTGCTCATGTGGTCATTTCTCTTCAAATTCTTCTTAACAAAATTATGGCATGCAATATCTTAACAAGTCTGTGTCAGGGAAAATACCCAGATATCAATTGGCACAGCTCCAACCATGAGTCATATTTGATCCCAAGAAGATATAATTTTCTCAAATCAAGAGCTGAAATAAAAGCTACGCTACTAATGACTTACAAAGAGCTGGGGGAGGAAAAGGACTCCGAGCTCATATGAGCGAATGAACAGCTGGTTCCCTTGTTTTTGGAGTTCCCCCCAGGCAGCTTTCGAGAGATTGGCAGAAGTGAGGAGGAACCAGGCAGCCCTTCTCCGGTCTGGTGACAGGCGAGTGTATGTCTTTATGTGAGGTGATGCTCTGCTTCTCTTCCTCCTCAAGCTTGTCCATCGACTGATCCAAATAAATAGTTTGAAGCTTAAAGCTGACACTCTTAGGCCTTTACTTTATATAGTTCTCAGTAAGATAGATACCTCCCATTAATAAATATTCAACAGCAGTGACTTAACTGGAACACACTTCTGGAACCCCAAGGCAGGGACAAATATGCTCTGATGGGAACCACACTATCAGATGCAAAAGGGGTTTGGGTTTTTACAAATGAAAACCTGTCTCAGCTTTTCTATAGACGATTGGCAAAACAAAAACATTTGCAGTCTTGGGAAGTTCACTGTGATGCATGAAAATTTTGGCTAGTGTCACTACGCAAGCCAATCAATGCTTCCAGAGCTGTCCAGCAGCTGTGACATAGAGATCCAATAAGATCCTATCAGTATGTCACTTGAAGAGATATTCTCAAAATGGAAAAAAACTCACTGGAGGAAAGAAGTGAACCATTGTTGCTTCATGTGAGTCTTGAAACTGTATGGAAGGGATCCCCCTGAGATGTATCCATCCAGGCTATTCCTCACATCATCAACAGTTGGAAAGATCTGCAATAAATTTTCATACAAAGAACCTGGGCACATTGTCTATGGGATGTTCCATGAAGAATTCCCTTTATTTCATTGGTTATAATCTGCCTAGCTATTATCAGCCTTTTTTTTTTCTTCCAGGTAATAATCAGCAATGCCTCAGTTAACAAATGATGGCAGAGCTTCAGTAACGAAGAGTATAATGAGACTGAAACAAATAGGGCTGCAGCAAGGTCTCATTCCATCAGAAGAGAGCACTTGAGAAAGCAGTTTCAGAAGGAACCACCTGACCCTCATGATGGTAGAACAAGAAATGATGATGGAATGAAGTCCATATTTTAGATTTATTAGGGAAATAACATAAATAGTGCTGCAATGAGGTCTCCTGCAATTGTGCAAGGATAAACGTGTTCACCTTGGAACTGTATTCTGAGAAACTGCCTCATCAGCTTATAGTTTTCTTATAGCACTGCTTATTTTAGTCAAACAAGTAACTTTTTGTACTGCAGCACTTTCATCATTAGTCAACTTAATATTGATTATGTCTAAAAAAGATAATAAGGCATATAATAATCAGATGGAGTACTATTTGCATTTCCATTTAAATGTGTAAGTGAGTTTAAAAAAAAGAGCAATGTATGCTTTGTGTAACTTTTTTTTACCAATACAAAAATTTGCTGAGTTAGCACTAAGCTCCTCTTTCTCAATATGCTTCAGCTCTGAGATGTTCACAAGTACACAGAACCCAATGATAATGCATATGGGCTATGACCTTCCTTCATTGTCAAAAGGAACTCTCTATTCAGTTCAGGCTTTATTCTTTATTTAGGTCTTTATTCAAAAAACTTTATTCAGTTCAGGCTACCAGCATTCAATAAGAATTATGGGTTCCTGGTAGCTTTGAAATTGTGATGGATAATATATGGGTATCAAGACAGGAGGTATTATACAGATAAATAAGCTAGTTTTCACAAGCCTCTCTCTTTGTCAACAAATAGTTTATTTCTTCTCTTTTAAAAGTAAACTTGCTTTACTTATTCACTGCTTCTCATGATAAGTGCATCCACAATTCAAACACCCTATGAAACAGAAAAGCAGAGACCCAAGGGGCAGGCCTACCAGTTGTACTTTTGGATTCCCCAATTGAAATCCAGCCAGACTCTTAGCCCATTCAGACTCCAACCAAGTGGTGGGTGAAGCACCCAATGACCCAACTGAGCTGAACTGCCCTATCAATGGCCATTCTTGTGTGACAGCTGCTGCTGAGTAATCCTTAAGGATGTTCCCAAGTCTCATGTGCCCAAACTCCTTCCGTGCAGTACTGCCTTCGTGGCGACCAGGTACAGATGCTATCAGGTACACTCTGTAAATGCAAAGGATATAAATTTTGCAATGCTTATAATTTAACTTTTTTCTTTGGAATGGCTTTCAAGCCATCTGCCAGTTGCCCATTGCTTCAGTCCTGCCAGACATCAGGCTTGCACTGTATTACATTGTCTATCCTCTTTTATGACTCCAATGAGTCCTGTTCTCCTTCATTCCACTACTCTGCCTAATGAACCTCGTTGTTCTCTATCACAATACTCTACCAAGTCTGGTTACCCCTACAAGAAAAACCAAAGTGTCAACAGCAGGAATCAAACTCACAACCTAGCAAATGCTACTCCAGGGTGCTTTTCACTGAGCTACAACAGCACAGACGAGAGGGTTCACTTCAGAAGAAGAACATACACCCAGACTATCTGACTCTTCCAGTTGCTCTTCTCACCAGCTTCCAGGGAAATTTCTCATTATAAATCCAAAACAGAAAAATAACTCATGAAGTTTAACTAAAACTGGAAAATAAAACTAGAAATATCTATCACATTCTTATCTCCTGGACATATTCCCTTTGTTTCAGGACCCCACAGGAGTAGGGCCCCTATAATTTATATTACAACAATCCACTGGTATCCACTTAATGTACAAAACTCAGTTGAGCTGAAAAGCTAAACCCAATATAATTACTGACTGACAGAAACTCTACTAAATATGCTGGTGGTCAGCAAGACCCAGCAGTTGAAAAAATGCCTGACAGCTGATAAGAATAAGTAAATGAGCAGCTGACAGTTTGAGAGCAACCCCACTTTCTTTTCACCAAATGAGAAATTGTGACCATGTTGGCATTATATGTGAAGGAGAAAAGCCTAATCAGATAAATGTGCATACTAAGAAACCTTCTTAGTCTTTTAAACCCAAATGTCGAACCCTTGAATGGTCTCAACTAGACACAGTACAAACTATGTTCCCTTGGAAAAGAGGGGGAAAAACAGTATAAATGTACCTTGCATCAGAGAAGTCATGACTATTGATCTCTTGCAGCCATGGATCCAAACACTGCAATCGATATGATGAAAGGTACTTGAGGAGATCTTTCTTGAAAGCAGTGACAGAGTCAGTGTCAACCATTCTGGCATCTCCCTTGATGCGTGGGAAAATTGGACTCATCCAGATTCTGGAGGATAGCAGCATCCCTTTTTTTTTATTGTACTCAATTAGCCACTCAGTCAAGGTTAATGCTGTTTGGGACAGTAAACAAACATTGCCCAGAGATGGAATACCACAGCTCACCCCTGAGTCCGATTTGCCCAGTCCATTGGAATTAGGTTGGCCGTGTGAACAACAACTCGAAGTCCTTCTCTGTACTGCAAGAGCATCATCTTCCTGGAAAAAAAAAATTGCTTCTGAGGTTATGCTCACAGCCTTTATTGACATTGATGGGTGGGATATTTTATTTGCATTGGTATTTATCACATTTGATGACTTTCTGCAGATTGAACATAAAGTTTTGACATCTTCATTGCAATTGTTTATAATTAGAGTAGAGACATTATGCAATATTGAAAATGTGTCAGCATGAGCCATCTCTTGGCATTTGATGAAAATAGATGCCTGATAACTGAGACCATTTTATGCTTTGACATTGTCATATTGGCTATTTATATGGGTGATTCAATCCCTATTCTCACAAGGTATGCAGAGTTCTGTGCTACAGTAGAAACAAGGTGAGAAAAAGAAACTGAGTACCTCTCAAGTGACACAAAATTTCCTTGGACATAATGTTTTTGGCAAACCAGGGTAATTGTTACAACATGCTTGAAACTTCAAATTTGTAGCAGGTACCCAACTAGGTATATAATCATACACCCTTTGAGCAAGTTCAATATGACTGTCATGTTCACTGACTTTTGTCTGGTGTACTCATTCAACAAGAAGGCGACATTCATGATCTCCACTGCAGCAAATGTCATTCCATTTTTATCAGCTTAAAGGGCCAATATTATTTTTTTTTACAGGCTCATAAAAATGGAGCTTGAGAAAAAGACAAACAGCATAGTCAAATATTGCAATAACTCATGAAATTAGGCACTACTGAGATGTGGCAAACATGACCCCTCTGAAAATCCAATTTTGATATCCTCAGGAGACTATAGGCATGGCAGGGTTTTTCACAAACCAGGCAAGTAGGTCACTCACACCTGCTTTCTCAGGTGCAGCACCTTGCAGCTCATGAGTTTTTTTTTTTTTCCCCCAAATGAGGATATGAGAGAAACATTTAATAAACAACATAGCAGAGAAATAGATCCTCATGTAGTCCTAGAATTCCCTGCAGAGTAGTGGTGCACTAAGAGGAAGCATGAAATAGTAATAAGCTCCTATTTGGGTTATTTACTCATTAATATTTCAACTGTATAATCTAGGTCTTTCTAAGAACAACTCTTCCCTGTTATTTCTTGGTATATTGCCTTGTGGCAACCATAGCAGATCTTTCTGCAGAATTTCACTGAAGCAGGCAGGATTGAATATGGAGATTGAGCATAGAAATAGTTCATTCTTCATTATGCAAGTGGAAAAAGGCACCATGGAAAGTTGGAAGTCAGAGGAATGAAAGTCATGAATGAAAGTTGCAGTGAGAAACCCAGACTAAAAGCTGGGAAATTAAGACAGAATTAAGACAAATAAGACAGCCTTTATAAGAGGAATTTTTTCTGAAAGAACAGGGAGAATTAAGATTGCCATCACAACACCCCCACTGTCTCATTTACACTAGTTCATCCTAGCTCATTATTTTAGAAGAGAAGTTAAAATCAATGAGATAAAATCATTTGATACATGGAGATGAAAATACACACCAATTGCTTTAAACATGATTCAACTTTCACAGTTCAAGAAAATGGTAGAACCTCACGTATGATGAGTCCCGAACGGAACGGGGCATTTGACGTGCTGGAACTCCAAGTTGACATGAGAGCTTGGCATATCCTGGTCTCCATGCAGCACTAGAACTGGGTGGTCCCTATGAATAGATAATGGTGAGCTCATGACAGCCAGAGGCAAAGAGTCCATGCTTGTTAGGAGAAGAGCTCACTCATTATGTGCCCTCCTGTATGCTTCAAGGAGATAATAGGGGTCAACCAAGTAGCTTAGTTGCAGGGATTTCACTATTTTCCCATGTTCCACACTCAGGATATCTAAGAGGCAAATACACATACCAATATTGCAGATCCCTGAATCCTTCAATTTTCTAGCACTGACAATGCCAAAGCACTCAGAATTTCATACATTATTTGCAAACAGTAACAAATGAAAGGTCTAAAAGCAATGCAGATCAAATCACTCAATACATATTTTTACCCTAACACATGAAAATATCCCTGTTTTAGATGTTCTCTATCAAGCTTAGAACATGGAAATAGTAATAAAAAAAATTGAGTAATCAATTCTAATACTATAATTGGGAGTTTACAGGAATCAGTATTGAAATTCTTGGGAGTTTTAACGGTGATGTGCTAGTGACTTAGTCCAGTTGGCTGTATGCCAATTTCCACGCTGACTGATAGAAATATGACTGGAAAAATATGTGGTCACAGGACAAAATGACTTTCAACAGGTCAGACCACATCTCCGACATCTTTGTCTTGTTTGATCAATTGACTGAGGAACACAACCAAGCAGTTTCTTTCATATTTATAGAAGGGGAGGAAACATGGACAGTTCTCTGCAACTGGTTGGCAAAGACGACTCAATTAACGCTGTCAAATTTGCTTTTTAATCCCTTCAAATCATGGTTATCACCAGGTCATGCACATAAACAAGAACATATATATTCAGAGTTGACTTAGTCTACTTTAAATTTAGTTACAAATTAGCAAAGTACTGAATTCATGTTTCATTTTAATGACTTGAACTGGTTCAATTCTGTGCCTCTCAAATTCTCGTGCTCTTCCTCTTTTTCTTCTCCCCCTAGAGGCCTGGTATAATGTGAAGAATCATACTCAGTCGAGGAAAATTTCAGCACTATCGACAGATCGTCCAGATATCCTCATCTCATCCGATTGAATCCTCCAAAAACAAATCTCAACTCAACATCATGACATGCAAAAAAAAAACAATCATGATTCAATCCCCCCTAATCCCATAACAAACCCACCTGCGATCCCAATGGACAGTGTTTCCTCCCATGTTTCCTTGGCATCTTTGACGGTGTTCAAGAAGAAATTGAAAGGATACGACGCAGCCCACTTTTCGCGCCTGGACTTTTTCCTCGAGTGACCCTCGGGGGAAATACTTCGACTCCTTTTCCCAGTCACCCCTTTGCCTATCGGAAAGGGCAAATCCAGAACCATGAATCCACCAGCTAAACCCAAAAATCATCCAGCAATAGAGAGCTGTCTGCTCTCAGAACACTTCCTAAAGACAATTGAAAATGAAACCTGGTATGGTAAATGAGCTACACATAGGATTTAAAGTCTTGTGTCTCAAATTTTCATATTATTTCTCGTACATGTGCTCTGTGAATAGGAAAAAGTACTAAAAGAAAATAATTGAAACACATGAAGGCCACGCTTTCGGCGCAAAGAAGCATTAAAAACAGACCATGGATTTATTCCCACATACGAAGGTAGAGGTTCCGGTAGTTTCTATTTTAATAGAAATGACTTGATGCCAAATGTATTGCTATTGTTTTTGCATACTAACTCCAAAATGACCAAGATAATGCCTTTTTTGCTTAGTGAATCACCCTATCCCATATCCCGACTGGTACTGAGTACTTGGCCTTCTCTCAGTGTCTTAAATGTTCTTTTGTGGGATGGCAAGGAATAGTTCCAAAACCAGTAAAAGAAATTAATAAATACGTTTTCTTGTTCAATATTTCTTTACCGCTGATACAGGGTACGGTTCGTACGGTTGGCGGCGTGTATCGACCAGTCTATGCCTCCGCTGATGCCTTCTGGGATCGCGACGCAACGGCAGTGCGGAGGGGAGGATCGGAATCATCACTCCCTGGTGTCGCGTGTGGCGCAGGGCGGAAGGGCACACGGCGACACGTTGCGAAAGATGGTATGTAGGTGGATATGGACAAGACATCGGACGTTCGTTTTTGGACGAATTCGTACCAAAAATATGAAATTTTCATCGGGAATTTTGACTTTTAAATTTGCTCACTCTGGGAAAGGCACGAACAACCGCCAACTCTCCTGGGTCTCGGTCTCAAGGAGAATGCGCAACTCATCGAGTTAAGGGCGTTTCACACTTAGCGTGTCATGCGTCCTTTGCGTCAATGCTGGGGCGGGTATGCAGACGCACGCATGCACACGCATGACACATCGAAGATTTTCACAAAAGGCAAGGCTTGCGTTTTCAACAGAGCTCATCCCTATTCCACTCGCAAGCCTTCCGTTTTGTGGAAAACATTAGAATGTTAGTGGACACGCGTGCGTCTGCCTGCCTTCCCAAGCATCGACGCAAAGGACGCACGATACGCAAAGTGTGAAACGCCCTTTAGGGTGTCGTCACCGATCGGATGTGTTACTGTGACGTCGAATGTGTCGGTGACTTTCTGGCCGTCGTAGCGACGGATCGATCTTCGACAAACGAAGAGGAGCAGTCCCCCCTCGACACGAATCATCCGCAATCCTCCTCCCGCGTGGACCCCCATCCCATTCTGCACCGACAAGAAACGGGCAACAGAGAAGGGAGGACGCCACGTGGAAGACACGCCACGCCCCGGTAAGCCGCCCTTGAAAAATGAACCTTTCGCCGTCCTTCATGGCTCATTCGAGTGCGTGCCCTCCGCGCATCCACGGGTGCAAGGTATCTGCAGTGGGTATTCCTGGAGCCGCTGGGAACGTGAGAAGGAGCGCGACTTTTCTTTTTTCCCGAGCGCTCGCGCGTGGCCCCGTTCCGCTCCTCGCCGCCCCCTTCCGAGAAAATGTGACTTATATTTATACATTCCTCCTCCCTCTCTCCTTCCCGAGAGAGACGTATTCCTCGGTCTGGCAGATATATACGAGTTGGCGTCGGTTGAGGGTATGCCAAGAGGGAAAAAGCTGCATGCTCTAGGATACAGTGTTTACCCTGGTGGCTGCATTTCTCAGCTAAACACCGATCGAAAATACGATTAATAGTAAGTCCCGGCGAGATCCCCCGCTGTAGGTATCACTCCGATAACCTATGTTTTTTTCCCCCCTCAATGGACAAGGCGGTGGTAACATGCACGTCAAACTCTTTTTGACCAAGAAACGAAAGAAAAAACAAGTTCCCAAGTTCCCTTGCGAAAAGTTGGACAGTCACGATAGGTCGATGCATCGACGGTTTCATTTCCATCATCGCGACGAATAAAATGGGGTAGCCCATTCCCGTTATCACCAAATCCTGGAATCGCCAGGACCGACGATATGAAAAATAGAAGGAGGGGGGGGAAATTGGATCCAGAACGGAGAGGGAGATAAGACCGGAGTGGGGGGATTTCCCTTCTTCCGTTCCAGCCGATGTCAACAGGTGCATGCTGCCGACCGGGATTGCACTTTCATCTCTTCGTGTCGGAATGTGCATCGATGTCAGGGAAACGCTCTATTTTCCTGTCTTTCTGGGATCGTCAGTCTTGCTTCGCATGCAGGCTCGAGTATTTTCTATTCCACTTTCTCGCACGAATCGTATCGTTTGCATTCGACTTAAGAAAACATGTTCAGTCTTCATCAGATCAAACTAACAATTCGGTTCACGAGAAGTGTACCTTATTAGGGAAGAGGACGACACACCGATAGTTCCTGATTTTCAGCGATTTTTTTTTTCCTCAGTCCTGATTTCAAGCGACTGGCCAATAACATCTCATTGAACGATCATCCAAAAGAAAGGAAAATATTGGAGCACGCATGTATCTCGGATCCTCGGTTCATTGGCGAATTAATTGTGTTCGATTGACACCTATTCTCCCAAAAGGAAACAATCTCAATGCCAGATTTCATCTAGAGCACGCGTGTCTAAAGTTTCGGAGCGTCCGGTCACATCGTGATAAAGGGAACGATGCGAGCCGGAAAGCCTCAAAATTTTACAATCATTTCCAGGTTATTTTCCCATAAATGAGGCTCCCATAAACTTAGACAAACCCTACACACACCTTATTAACTTGAAAGCAAAAAAGTGCGACGCGACTGATCCGACCGTCCTCCCCCTCGACGACGGACCGCGAGCCCATCGCGCTCGTCCGAGCACCGATGGATGGCGCTCTTCCCCATCGCACATTCCGCTTGGAGCCCTTCCGATGACGCGGGGGGGAAGAACTCGTCACGGGAATGGGCAAACAAACGATCGACGCAGTCTGTTTGCGGCGAGGGCTGCCTCGACATCCCTGCTACGAAGCGGCGGTGTTCTTCGCTCCCCGAGAATGTAAACGAACCGAGTTCCTTTCAGCCACGATGGCAATAGAGAAGGAATAAGTTATTTTTAATTTTTAATTTCCGTGAATCTGGAGGGGGAAAAGGGTTCTTCTCTTTCTAAATGATTTAATGGGGTGGTACGCCTGGCCGCTATTCCTTTCCCCCGAAATTATGATGATTAATTTTTGATACGATGCGCCGGTTCACTTCCGATAGCTCTGGTTAAAAAAATATCCATGTTTCGAGAACTGTCATCGTGACAGCCCTAGTGAAAAGAGAAAGCACATAAACTATTCATACAACTTAAGTTACACGTGAAATTGCAAACTATGTAGACCTACGGTAAGCCTACATCAGCTAATACGAGGGGTGTCCAGAAAGTAATGCACGCAAAAGAAAACCTCTTCATTTCAACTAAAATCAAACATTCTTTACTATCGTCCTTTGACATAGTCATCACCGAGTGAGATACGCTTATCCAATCTTTTTAGTCGGTTCTCGAAAGCTGTGCATATGTGGTATGCGCACTATATGGTATAGGCTTAGGTATGTCCTGCAAGATCTCCTGCGTAGCTTTTCTGGATCTTGAATTCTGTTAAACTCCCTACCGGACAGGCATTCCTTGAGAGATAGGGAGAACCAGAAATCTAGAGGTGCTAAATCAGGATAATGGGAAAGGGCAGATGCCTTCTCTTCCTCCAAGTATCTCTGCGTCTCTCCTGCTTTGTGGGGAAGATGCAGCATAGTGATGCAGCCACACGCAAGAAAGTCCTGTCTTCGAGCGCTGCTTCCTAATTTCATCCTTAACTTTTGATAGTTTTATTCTCAAATTTTCTTTGTTACCTAGCTGGTCTGTCAGAATAGTGTGGACACTCCCAGTAGATAGAGCTCCGAAGCCAAAAGTCGGAAAATTATTCTGGGATCACCCCCCACCAGACTACGGCATCTTGCCGCCGCTTGATGGTTCACTGCTGTTGCTGGACGTCAAGAACGATCCTCATCGGTGAATATGCGGCAGCTATCAGACAATCGACGCTTCCATCTTATGATAATGTGTCTATGGAGGGAAAACTGTCTCCCATCACTGCGTCCATGACTTCTTTGATTTGGCTTGTAGACTGTGATAGCTGCCACCTTACAAGCATGTAAAAACTTACTGAATCCTCTGAAAAATAAGCCATTTCGGATCAGAGGTCAACACCAAGGTCCCTGCAAAATTCATCAAAACTTCAACATTAGTTCTGTTCTGCTGACCTTATATTTTGATAAAATGGTAATCTGAAAAGGGAAGACAAAATAATACATTTACAAGAAGCTAACAGAAAGTCCTCAGGTATTCTTGAGATGCAGGCATTGTTTTTTGAACGCCCCCATGAAATTTCATGCTGCTTTCCTACAACTGCAGCTTCCAGCTTGTAGCATGGATCTAATTGTGCTAGTAATTCCTATGGTGTTAGAAAGGAACAAGTGGGGGTTTCTCAAGTGATAATAAGCCTTTGAAGAACGGAATTCCTGTTAAAGAATGTTTAAAATTCACTTGCAAATTACTGCAGCTAGTTGGCAACATGGAGGCTATAGTAAATCTATCTTACCAATACTCAACCTTTTCATAGAACATCATAATAGGTCGATGTGCCTCTTGACATCCCTATCCAAACCTTAACCCACTGACTGCTGTCATTTTGTATATCAAATGGATGCATGTGCCATCATTGCAGCCATTTGATAAATGCAACATATCAAGATGAATACATGCATACATGATTTTCTTGTAGAAATGCTTTTATGAATATGGAAAAAAAAGCAGTACTGGTGGTGCATTAAGCCAAAAAAAAAAACTCAGCAAAGGGTTAAATCTTAAATGCCTTTTTATGAACAGCAATGGCAATTATTACCATTTTTGACTGCTTAAGCCACAAGTAAGTTAATGGAACATGTACAGAGAAAATATTTTATTAAATTAAGGTCATACACCCACATTTATCTATTTTTTCTAAAAGGAGATTTAGGTATGCACTACTGCTAGAAGATTTTGCTTAGGCAAACACCATGTACTGCACTATACCTCTCAAATACACCTCTGCATGCATAGATTAATGTCTGGCAACATCTACTCTATATGTGTGGAACTTGCAGCTAGCAAATATGATGGTTGCACACATCACAACATAAAATAAATTCACATTAATTAGCATGATTTCAGACTTATGCTAACATGCATGAGGTCAGTGGTACTCAAGTTATTTGAGCCAGGAACCACATCCAGAAGTGTCCACCTTATGAGAGCAACGTTGAAATAAAATGGCTAACTTATACTGATAACATATTGTACTTTACTGAAAGTATTATTTTTCCTACAAGGACTGCATGTTTAAACAACATTTCCAAGATATAAAATATATATTTTTTTATTATAAAAAGCTGAGTGAGACTCACATTGATCAAGCCCATCAGTCCCTTTCTCCTCTCTGCATGTGGCATCTTTCTCATCTGATCCTTTACACAATGCATCATCTTCAAGTTCACCTTTCATTATTTCTTTTTGTGGTGATTCCTCTGAATCAGACTCACTGTCAGAAATAGCATGAACTTTATACCCTGATGACATTGCTTTGGCCTGCACTTCATAGGCCTTTTTAAAATATGCCTTCTATCAACACAGCTGACCTGCAAAAAATTCAAAGTCAAATTCAAAATTCCTTGCCCCATGGGTCAGGCTCTATTGCACATACTGAAAGGTAAGAAAGGGTACCATCAATATAAAGTAATGCAAGCTTACACAATAGGGCATTTCATAATGTGCAGTTGGCAAGGCTATCTATTGTTGCAAGACCAATAGACATGAGCATAATGATAGAGCTTAAATAAGTAGAGGTTCAAAATGTAAAGCATATAGACCACATTGGTAACTAATCCTGTTTATATAGTACTTGTACCAAGTTTCCTGTAGTTAGGGGCAAAGGGCAGGGCCACTCAGAAGGGGGTAGGGGGGCATCAGGGACAATCTGTTCCTGGCCTCGCATATCAAGGGGCCCCAAGGGGGCCTCCAAAGGGTCTGAGGAGGCCTCTGGACACCTCTAGGTGGTCCTGGCAAAGGGCACAGTGTTTCCACCCACGTGAGGATTAGTCAATGTTCCTTTTCCTTTGGTTCACATACCCCCTCCCCCTTGTCAGCTTGGCCCAGTTGATGAGTAGGGGAAACATGCTAGGAGAGCCAAGGAATTCTTTTTTCAGGATTCATCCATTCTAATGGAAGGAGGAAAAGGTATATATGAATTTTGGGTGACAAAACTGACCTTTTGCCTCCTTCCCACCTCCAGAGATGGGGTATGGCCACCACCAATTAGCAGGCTTATGACCCTTGTCACCAAATATTTTTGTGTCCAAGAATTCACTTCACCAGTTCAACAAGGTAAGCATAGCATTGAAGAAAAACTTTTATAAGGGTTTAACAATGTCCTCTCAAATTAAAAAGACTCACTATGGCAATCACCAATACTCACACATTTCACCCAGCATTGTTGGGCACATGCACTTGAGCCCCTTCTAGGATTTGCAGCAATTTCTTTCTGGAATGTAATCTTTAAGAATTTCTCAAGGGTTTGTGATAGGCTCTAGTTACTTTTAAATTCCTTTCTTTTGGAATTTTCTTAAGTAAGCTGAGATCCTTTCATAGGCCCATGCTTAAGACCTACCCTGAAAAATAGGAAGTGAATGAAAATCAAAGGGATGGAAAAATATTAATTAGCAATAAATAAAATTTTTTCAAATGTAGGGCACACAAAGAGCTCATGAAGTCAATCACCAAAATCATTGATGCGTTTACAACAATTTTGTTTCATATAAGCCTACTCGCTCTTTGTCCATTTGCCCTTCTCTACACAGACTATGTAATTAGACCTAGGGCTTGGGGTATGACGGGAAAATACGGCTGTTTTTCGCTCAACTTATTAAAAATATTCTTTTTTTACTTGGCTCAACACTCGTGCACAAGGAACGGGACGTTCCTGTGTGCGTGTGTGTGTGTGCGTGTCTGCAAGTGAAAAACACTGCATATATTAATCTAGATATACAGATTCCTTTTCCCTTCCTTTCTAAGGCAGCACATTAAGCCCGAGTGACAACCTGATTGACAAAGTCAGCTCTTATTTCAAGTACACAAAAAAATTCCTCCTGTGATTAGAGGCTGTATTAATGCTTCATTAGAGCTAATTAAAATTCCCATTTCAGCACAAACCAGCTAAACTGGATATTCACATTCTCTTCCGCGGTTACGATCCATCCCCAGTGCAATCTGGAAATGCCGGCTGGCGCGAGTTTGTTCTGCTAAACCGAACGAACGCGGGACTGAACAGTGACGTAAGAACGAAGGACGCCTGCGCAGCCATGGCGAGTCTTTCGGCAGCCTCGTCCGTCTAGACAGGTTTTTCCCGGTCTGACCGGTCGAAAATCCGGTTCAGCCATGGCATGGCTGCATCCAACTGTGCCTTTTTGCTCTTGAACTTGATCTGAATGGGAGGCAGAACACAGGAACTACCCACTGTGTCACAGGGTCCGCGGAGCCAACAGATCTGTGCACGTGTCTTCTCGATGAGCGCGGCCATACTGTTATCCGATCCGCTCCTGAAACGCACATCGCTCCCGGTTGTAGTCTTTTAGTGAATGCCTAAGAAGGGATTCAGGTTTTCTAGGGATCCAAGTCAAAAACCAGTCTTTAAGCAGCATGGTGCAGACTGCCCCGGCGCATTTCAGGACGGAGACTCCTGCAATGCGCAGCGACCTATCACACCCCCGAGTGAGAGGCTCTCGTGCAATCATTTTAAAGTGCTTTTCACTTGTGTGAGACAACTTTTCCCTTGACCTTGGCATTTGTGCATGGGATCTTCCTCATACTTGTTTATCTGAGTCAAGTGAAAAAATGTATTGCTCAAATGATACACTATACTTTCAGGTCCCTTATCACCTTTATTATTGCCCATGAAGAGCCTCTGGACATTAGGCAGTAAGGACCTATTGCGCTTACACAGACCTATTGCGCTTACACGGACCTATTGCGCTTACACTGACCTAATTGGGAGCGTATGGGTTGAAAAGTTAGTCACTGTAGCTGAGATCTCAGAAAAAACATCAGTGAGATTTGGTCTAGGAAGCATAATGGACTTATCCCAGGGCTAATGAGTATGTTTGTCTTTGCACGAGTAATAAATTTGGCTGCTAGGCTAAACACTAGGCCTGGTCAACCAACAATCTGTTTCAATATCAGATTAGCAGAGTAACTTTTGAAGTTGAAGGACTGTGACGGAAAAGTGCCACTTGATACCAGAGATAAGATATGACATGTCTCGATAAAAATGAGGATTGGCCATCCCCTGACTGGATGATGGGTATTGACTTGTGTCAAAGCCTGAAGTTGGGTGTTGACTTTGTCATTGGCCAAAAGTCCCAAGCCTTGGGTTAGTGTAAAGCCTCAACTAGAGTAGACAATTTTATTTTATAGAGCTAATGTTAGCCTATATCAAGGTGTGGATGTGATATTCCCTATGTATAGCAATGGCAGGAGTGGTACAGTGTTTTCAACATGAGCCAGGCAATTTTTTGCTTGACACCTAGACACTTGTGCAGGAATCTTCCTTGTGCATGAGTTTCTAAGTCAAGAAAAAATGTCTTGCTAGGCTGGAAAACAATAAAGAGGGTGGACTCAAGAAAGAGATGGATGGACCTTTCTTCATCTCATGAGTTTCTCATGTTGATATATACTTCTTATGGATGTTTGAAGACTTCACTGCCATGTCTTTTTCTTTCATTTTCAACAACCCTCTAGGTGGAATTTCTTACTTCATCCAATCATGCAGTATATCATCTCAAAGTTGATGCTAGATGATGGATTGAATGGTGTAAGCTACATTTTGCTGCTGAGTCTATTCCTACCTCTGTTGTGCTATATGAACTCTCCATGTCGATATTACCTCAAGTTTTTTGTGTATCACCTTCATGTGTCAATTGTTTCTTTTCTGATCATCCCTTATGCACTTGCAAGACCTCGAAATGTCAGAAATACCTTGTAAGTCCATTTTCATCTTAATCTAGGCCCATTGTTTTTCTATATCAGACACATGGGTCATGAATCTCATGCAAGAGAAGAAAGAGTAATACTGACACTTTTCCAGACTTGCAGCCAAGATGATAGCCCCACTGCGTCATGCATTTGGACTTCGTTACCATATTGTGGGTGCAGAACATCTCACAGTGGACCGTGCAGCTGTGATTGTAGCAAATCATCAGAGCTCCCTGGATATCCTTGGTAGGTTTTCATCATTCTTCCATCTTTTTCTTCTCATATTTTGCTGTTTTTGCCTATCCTCTGTTACTACTGTCATTCAGACTCCCTGGGCTTATGAAACTTCCAGAACAGCATAAGTGTAGTTCTTGAGAACTACTCATTGTCAGCATGTCTTAGTAAGGTGTTTAGAAGGAGATGCAGGACTTTAGTAATTTTTCAAGGTAGCAACTTTGTTAGTAGACTGTCTTTTGCACCCCTCCCTTTGTAGGGATGCTCGTGTTCTGGGGCCTGATGGATAAGGTGGCAACTGTTGCCAAGAAGATCTTGCTCCTGTGTGGACCATTTGGGCTGGGAGCTTGGCTCTGTGGCACTGTGTTCATTGATCGTGCTCAGAGTGGCACTGCAAAATCCACTGTCAACAAGGCAATAGATGAAGTGAAAGAGAAGCGAGTGAGTTCACAATTCATGTTCAATTACTCCTTGTGCTGCAGTTTCTTACATTTGGTTTAAATGATTGGATTTTGAATGTCTTTTTCAAAGCAGCTGGATATTGTTGGAATGTGTGTATTCTAGGATTGCCTATCAAAAAAAAAAACTATTTGATTAATCTTGTGGTGCTTAATATGAAGTTAATTGAATTTTTGTTTGATTGGTCACATAACCCACCTTCACTTACCTGATTAAAGCTTATGAAATAAGCTTCTCTCCTAATCTCTAAGTTTCAGTTTTTGGCTCATCATCAGTACTGATTGTTAACCCCTTAACTAGTGAGATGTGCATATCCTTGCATTTATATAGCAGAAATGAAAAGTAGCAGCATAGCTCTTAATGATTAAACTGTAAGTGTAATCCAATGGCATGGTAGTTTCCTTCAAGTTCATCTGACATAGTTGCAATCTCATTGATAGTAAATTAGGATGCTTTCCTCTGCATTTTTTTAATCATCAGCATGGGTGCTGATATCAGCCTGGAATGATGCATTGGATTCTTTTCCCCCCCAGGTAAAAATGTGGATATTTCCAGAAGGTACTAGAAACAACAATGGATCCATGCTTCCATTCAAGAAAGGTGCCTTTCATTTGGCTGTACAGAACCAACTGCCTATAATTCCTGTTGTGTACTCATCTTATCTCAACTTTCTTGATTCAAAGGCAAAGAAATTTGGTCCTGGTAAGTGCCTGACTGTACTCTTTGAAAGTTTTATTTACTCTATCTACAAGGTGGCTAAAGAATGCCTTGGTAGTTGTGAGTGAAATATGGTCAGAAAGTCAATGCTGATGTCAAATCACCCTGTAGATACCTGGGATGCCCTGAAGAGTTTTTGAATCTCAATCCCCTATGTGCATCTATGAAATGCTATTTTCAATTTTATGACTACCTGACTCATGTTCCTAAGAGGACATACACTGGCTGACTTCACAAGTAGAAGCAATTCATGATGCAGGCTCATGGCTATTGCTGTAACAAATGTCTTAACAAGCTAAACCCATCTTAATCCAGTCATTTTGGCAAGAGATGATGACATGTACATTTGCTGAGAAACTACAGTATTTCACAGTGTCTCTACAGGAAACTTAATGAAGCAAGCTCTTGTCCACTACCTAAACAGACTTGCCAAGTTACATCCTATTATGTCAGTTTTTTGGCTTAGGATGATGTGCACATTTATAAATAAAAAAATTGCAAAACTCACCAAGTAGGCATCTCCTTACCATTCAAAAAATATTATTGCCATTTTGCAATGATCTATGTCCAAATTTGACACAGGACACCTGGTAGGTAAGGAATTGCCAAATAGAAAGATTTTACTTATGAAGAATATACAAATATCATGAATGACCTTCAAATGTATATACAGGGTGTTTCAAAAGTCCATACTCATGGGTATTTTGAATTAATTACATTTCTCAATGAATGATTGCACCAAAATTAGTACAGAAGTACTAAGAGGGGGGTTCAGAGGGGGTTATGTGCTAGGATTGATATGTGTATGCAAGTTCATGGCATGCAATTTGAACATTTAATGAAATAAAAGTAAATTAGGAAATCTGCCTATGAGTCTGGACTTTTGAAACACCCTGTATATTGTAACATGCATATGCACACCTATGTACAACATATATAGGTATAGAAATCAGACAGCCTCCACAGAAAAAAATGAAATGACTCATTGATAAACTTTGCAAAAGTGCTTCTGAACCATCATTGGCCCATTGCTGCTAAGAGCAAGTCATTTGCTGCTTTTCAAAAGGCATGAAATCATTTGAAATCCCATGAGAATATATCACTTACAACTAGATCCAATGTCACAGGTCAGGAGAGTCTTGTCTTGGTGGATTTCATTGCTATACCCATCAACCCAAAGGTTTAAGAAATGAATCTTGGTGTTTCCAATGCTCTTGAGGGAGATATTATAGCCTTCCTTGAATGTAATTTACAATGATTTATGTTGTTTACCTTGCTCTCTGGGCATCATGGTACCAATACATTAAGTAGAAAATGCATGTCTTTAAATTAGAAGTTGATCTCTAATCATCCAAATGTAATAATGGTATTACTTTCAAGTTGAGATTATGTTGTAATATATGTGTCTCATTTTTTCTGCATTCAGGTGATATCACTATAAGTGCCCTTCCTCCCATCTCTGTGGAAGGGCTGAAGCCATCTGATGTTGGTGAACTCGCCGAACGAGTGCGAAAACTAATGCTCGAAGAGTTTCAGAAGAACTCACCCTATATCAACAACCTCCAAAATGGGTGATGTGCCCATTTTCAAGTCATGAAACTCTGTGATGTCCATCTAGTTCATAATGTTGGAGTGGGATGCTATGTAGAGGACTGAATCCTTTGGAGTGAGAACAGTCTGTGTATATCCACTCATCTCTTATTTGGTTTATTGGCATATGCCTAATGTGATCCTAGTTGTGATGGATTACTATTAATTGTCTATTTTGTATCAAGTACAGTTTTTACAGAGTTTCCACCTATCATATTCTCCTGAATGTCCTTACTGTTCTACTGTTGTTCTATATAGAATGAGCATTCACTTATGAGTTCTTGCTTTTGTTGGCAGCAGTTATGTTCTCTTTGGGCTGGGATTTTTGTGCATGGAAATCCTGTAAATATACGTGTTTGATTTAAAATGATATGCACTTTGAAAGATATGAGGATGATAATGTGTTTCATTATGTTTTTGTTTGAAACCAGAGTGAAAATAAGTGAAAATACGAGTTATTAAATTTTGCATATTGACTACTCTCCAAATTCACATACTTGTGAGTGAGAGAAAAAGAAAACTTCAATAAGAAATGAGTTCAAATAAAAATCCCAGCCCTAGATATTGCATTCTCTCTTGTCTTCTATCTCCTCCTGCAGAGCAGTCCATATGTATGTCTTACCAGTATCAGCAAGCATTTTTTTAAGTATTTCACAAAGCCAGCATCGTTCTATAGCTTTCATTTTTCAGAGGAGACTTTTCAGTGTGCCAACATTTGCTTGACTCGTGATTTTATACTGGTGAGAAATATGCATGGTCCTAGATGCTGCCTCAAAACCACTCATGAGATTACCCACCTTGTTACAGTTGCATTGTTTGTACATCCATACTTTTATCACATTTCATATTTAGTTGAATATTTGTTATTTTCTGCATCAAGTTCTCTTAGGGGATCAAGGGCTTATTGAGTGGTCTCTCCAAAATGATGCATGGTACCCTCAGACTCTTGTCTCACTCTCCCTGAAGCTATCAAAGTCACAGGCATATCTAGTTGCTGAATGTACTCATCGTTCTGATTGTAGCATTCATTATGACCAACATGAAGCTGACCCATCTGTTACTGTCCATTTGTTCTATCGAAGAATTCCATTGATGAGTAAAAACCTAATAGGAAGGCTAACTTCATACTTGTTTTGTTGAAAAGCAGCAGTAAGGCCAGAAGAGAAGCCCTTTGGCAGCAGTCATCAAAATGTCTTTTGTTTCGGATGTGTGAGAAATAAACCTGTAATGTTTGAATATTGAGTAAATGAAGTGATGCTTATTAAATCACATTAAGGCTAGTGTAACCTTTGCAAAGTCTAGGGATGAGCTTTGAGTTTTAAATTTGAAGTGCTGGTGCTTGTACTCAAAATTTAAAATAGGTCTCATCCTTGAACCTGATATTCAGAATATGTACCTGCCACTGCTGTCAGATGCAGTTTGAATTCATATATTAGCATTACAGCTTCCATTGCATTTGCTTCATCACTCAAATGCCTGTGCGTGTACTTTACTTTTCTCAACCCAGAGAAAATTTTGCATTTTCAATCCTGAAAGTATATTTTGATTGATTGAAGAGATAGGAGTGCATCACTCATTCTTTCCACAGCTGCTTATTGGAAGCCTTCACTTATGGATGTGAATTAAAAATTGTATCCAGAGTCCCAGTTTTCCACCTAGTCTTGCATCTAAGTACCATAATCAATCATGAAGCATCCTGATCATTGTTTCCTCTGTATGAGTTGCCTCTTTGCCCTTGAAATACTCAGAGTATTCATGCCATGTATTATTCTTGTGCTCTACTTTCACTCTACATTGTGTCAAATGTTACCATTCTATTGTATACTGCCATCTAGTTTTTAGAGCATTTGTCTTCCTTTACCTTTCCATTGTGTTGTTGGTTCATCTCACTTATTGCTTTTCTAACTGCTTTTTCATGTTCATGTACCAGCGTGAAGCTACCATCAGCAGATTCTCTGCTTCAGGGAGTAATATCTTTATTCTAATGATGCAAACAGAAGTGTTCTCTCAGTCTTTTTGCCTTCATGTGTGTCAATCTGTTTGCATCTCGAGGTGCTAGACCTCAGAGGCTGCTATTTAGGTCCAGAGATGGACATTGTCTGTCCAGGGTATCCAGGGTCATGAAATATATTTTCATGTTAATCTTTCCTGTTCACCACCTCTTTCAAGCTGCTCAATTGACTTGGTAGGGGGGCATGCACCCATAGGAATTAATGGTGCCAAAATCTGGACTCTTGAGTATCTGCTTAAAAACCCCCAGGTATCCAAAACGTGAAGTATTTACATGAATCCCAAACTATATTATTTTCCTCTGATTTTCACAATTCTGTATTTTCCTGGCAGCATTCAAACAAAGTAATGTGATCTTTCTCTCCTGGGAAAGGTTCTTAGAGAAGATGGGCATAATTTTTTGATAGATTTAGAAAAGAGCGAGAAGGGGGGAAAAAAAGCAATCTTGAAGGAAACTACTTTTTAGTTTTCGTACTTTCCCCAACCTCACATCGTGACCATTAAACAACTTCCTGGCATTCTAGTTGAGGATCCCTTGTATCGGCTGTCTACCCACACCTCCTTGCAATGCAAAGAAAGCCATAGTGAATAATGTCCTCCCAGTGTTCCATTTCCTCCAAAGCTTCCTTAGCCATCTTCCCTGCTGAGTGTCTTGGAGCCACCAGACCTAGTCAAAAGCTCAGTGGCACCTCCCCGTGAGGTGCCAGACCCAGTTGTCTCCTCTTGTATCTATATTTATGATCGCGGCGAGAAATGTGGCAGAGATTTTCTCGCAATATTATTGATGTCTAGAAGTGGAGTGAGATGTTTGCAATTGTCATTTTTGAATTGCTGCTGTGGCCATGATGGCATCTGGCTGTTTGCAGCCCATCTTGTTGGCACTTTTTTTGTTGCTAATTTTCACCGCTGTTCATCGCTGGCGTTGTATCATGTGCTTAGCTTTGCTTCTCGATCCGATATTTTTGTGAGAGCCAAAAACGCATTCCGGGCTGGACATCGCATGTCTCATTTCGCATATAAAGTTTTCTATTACTGTCCGCACGTTCCCCGCTTTTTTTTTCCCTCCGCTTTCGCTTCCTGCATGCAAAGGAAGATGAAGGGGGAAACGACTTCTGTTTGTCCTTCTCCCTGACGGAGCAAAATCCTTAATTGCACGAGTCGGGAAAAATCGAGACATGGAATTTCAGCGGCTTTCTCCTCGGATGAAACAGCACTGAGCCGACGTGCGAGGACACTTTCACTCCCGTCGGAGGAAGAAAGGTGGGGGAAGAGGGGCAAGGGGGGCAGGGGGCGAGAGGGGAAACTGCAACCGTCATTCAACCCAAAAGGGGAACATGGTGCAAACGCCATGAGAAATCCTTGCCCAACGAGGTTACTTGAAAACAAAAAGCAATGGCCTCAGATTGCTTTTGTTATGGTAATGTGCAAATTCTGCCCGAGCGTTGTTCCTTTTACATATATTTATATTATATACTTGAGACATCAAGAACGCGCCGCACTTGGAAATTCTCTTAGCTCTTATGAGAGAGCAGACAGCGCTGCATAATTTAAAAGCATTTTTTGAAGTTATCCGTTTTTCTCGGGCCATTCCAACGCACGAATGATTTCACAAAACCGCCTAAGTCGTACTTTCTCGCAGCCGCTTCGACACGATCTTCGGTCCCGTGTCACTAACTAGAATCCTTCCAAGAGCTTTTCCCCTTCTCAGGAGTCAATCTAATGACAGAACCCTTCTAACTTTTTTTATTCGCAAAAGTAAAATTAAGGACGCGTGAAAGGTGGAAGTAATAAAATAAAATAAATAAATAAAACTCTTCTGTTGTCACCAATGCGTTTCCAGGAAAGGCGCTGTCTTTTCTCACGCCTCGTCCGGTGCTTTGGTGCATCGGGTATTCATGTATTTGGAATCCGCCCCCGCAGCCATCGTGGAGCTGGAAATTGAGGGGGTGGGGGGAGCAACCGCTGGAACTCGCCTGGGAACTCGAGCAACCGCTGGCCCGGGTCCAGCGGCGAGCCTTTCTTCGCACCGTCGTATCGCACATGTGAGTTCTGGTACTAAAAGAAAATTGTGAGGTTTGAACTCCTCGTTTTTCAACAAACGGGTGGGTAAGGTCGTGCCCTCGAAACGAGGGGGAACTCCAAGTACATCGATTCGATTTGTGACCGCTTTTGGTACTTGATGGTGCGACTCTAAAAATCCTCATCTCCGACTTGATGGAAGAAATCTAGGGTGTATAGGCAGTCTTGCAGATGAGAACGCGCTGTCTTAGAAATCCACGAGACCGGTCTTTCTTGGCAATATCTTTACAACACCGGTTTGAAACCGCTTTCCCCGGACCTCAAACTCGAATCTAAGGAGACGGCGGATGCCTGAGCAAAGTTTTTTTTTTCGACTTCCTTGCGCAAGCTTACGGATTCCTGGCACCAGTGGAAGCAAACTCAGCCCTTGTCGTTTGACCCTACTCCGCCATATGCTGAACAGCCTGTATAGTATTTCCGAAGAGGTATCAGTGACTTCGGGTGGATTGCACCTCTCGTGTCAGCGAATTTCCAGCTGTCTATCCTTCCCGTTTCACGAGCTTGCTCCTACTAACCCCCTTCCCACCACTCTAAGATTTCCAGGCTTTGCTCGCTGTTACCAAAATATATAGTTATATTTTCTATATTTTACGCTTCTTTGGTCATATTTAAGCAGGCTTTTGATACGATAAAATGCACCCTCTAGTGATGCCCCTGTCCTCTCCTCCTCCCCTATTCCCCCTTTTCCCCCTTTCCCCATTTATTTCCCCTTCCACCCCACCCGGAAATCCTAATTAATACTTTTGCATAGAAAGAAAATTTCCTGTTTCCGCGAAACGAATAAAATCAGCTCATTTTATACGGAGACGTTGATCCTGGAATGCGGAGAACGGACCCCGCATGGGATCCGCGACGGAGAAGCCACTATTTTTGCCCCAGGCGTGTCCGACTGAGTCCCAAGGACTGTTAACCGACGCGTCTGGGGATTCCTGGGTTTCCCTCGGTGCGGCGTTCACAACCCGGAATGCCTTCGTGATTCCACTCCGTCTCACTCCTTCCGAAAGGCTGGACAAAGGCGTATGAATATTCAGGGAGTCGCCCGATGAATCGGAAAAAAAAACGCTGCTACCAGGGGAAGGAAAAGTCTCGTCTCCGCTCTGCGATCGAACGGAAAAAAAAAATCCTCCTTTTTCTCTTTGTGTGACAGCTCATGACTCCACAAAGATTCCGACATGAAAAACGCAAACCCACGGACCGGGATCCATCACTCCATCCCGTGACTGTGCCAGCCCCGTCCATCTCCTCTGGTGACGTCTATCTCCTCGCGTGACATCTATCTCCGCTGGTGACACATCGCCAGTGAGAAAGATGTGGAAACCCGTGACGATCCTGACCCTCCTGTTACCCCAACTGATCCCAGCTCTTCCATCGCCCAACGCCACCTCCCCCCTGTCTAAAACCTCCCCCCAGCCTCGTCCCACCCTCCACTCCCGTCACTACTCCCCCCGTTCTTACCCTTCCCTCCACCCCTACCGTCACTTCCCCCGTTCTTATGCATACGGCTCCCGGTACCTGGGACTCCGGAGACAGCTGGGTCTCCCTCCGAACTTCCCCGACATCCCCCCCTACTTGCTGGACCTTCCCCCGGAGCAGCTCTCCGTCCTCGCAGAACAGTACGGCTACGGAAAGTTCCCCCCGGAAGTGATCGCCGCCTACATCCAGAGCATCAAGGAACAAGAATCCAAAAAGCCATCTACCCCGTCGACCCCAACTCCCGCACCCCCTCGCCCCTCGCCCCCGACCCCACCTCCCCCACCCCTCACATCGACATCGGGAACTCCCCCGATCCCCATCATCCCCATCCCGTTGCAGCCGGGAGGCATCCACCCCACCAGGCCCAACTACTTCGTGAAGCAGCGGTATCCACATTACGCCTGGTCCTACGCCTACGATCCCTACTGCCCCTGCAGAGGATCCCGTGGCTACGTCCCGATCGCACAGACCTATGCCGCCCCTCACACCGTCCCGTACTCCGTCCCGTACTCCACCCCGTACTCCGTCCCCTACGCCGCCCCTCAAGCCGTTCCGCATACTGTCTCTCATGCCGTCCCGTACGCCGTCCATTACGCCCCGCATGGCAAGAATCGAGCTGCGTCTCGTCCGCCAAGGACAGGACACTGAGTCGACGCTTTTCCGCGAGCTTGCCACCGTGATCACGCATCGACATTGCAACATCGATTCCCCCCCAAGACGAAAGAATGAACTCGGAATGAAAGAGAAAACCCCTCGCAATGACTCACTCATGAAATTCCTTCTCCACCTGCAAAAGAAATCCTTCCGACCTTTCATCTAACCTCTCCCGAGCATCCCCGCCCACTCCCCCCTCGGAAACCACGGAAGCAAACGCCCGGTCAGAGTGACGCCAAGAAACTCTACCCTTGACCACCTGTCGCAACGGAGGGAATCCCGCCGCCTCACTCCCCGTGTCGCAACCCCCCTTCGTCCCTCCACTCGCCCTTCCCACCTTCCCCCCTTATAAAACCGTCGCCGGAGCCTCGACTTCCACCAGACAGCATCCACTCGACACCATGCAGAGCCTCCTTACAGTGGCAGTGTTCGCCGTCCTGGCGATCGCGAGCGTCAGCAGCGAAGAGAAGCCGAACTTCTGGACCCCCATGCTCCAAGCCTACCAAGAGAACACCCGACTCTTCAAGCGCCAGCTCCCCGGCGGCATCCCCGACATCCCCCCGGAACTCCTGGAGCTCCCCCCCGAGCAACTCTCTCAACTGGCGGAACAAGCCGGCTACGGGAAGATCCCCCCCGACGTGATCGCCGCCTACGTGGCCAGTCAGAAGGCAAACGGTGGAGGATCCCCGGCTCCAGCAGCCTCGGCCCCGCTCCCCTCGCCGTCTCTTCCGTCTCCCGTC